TGAAATTTTATTAAATACGCTACAGCGTCCTTGAAATACAGCGCAGATATGAATTTCACGGAAGATCAGGCATTTTCCTATATCTTATTATCTTGCGGGATTGTCTATGAAGAAAGGCTGGTTTTGCTATAGCAATCAACTATATTATTTACTCAAGGGTATGAAGACTGGGATGGTGTCGCCTGTTGTATGCTCGCGATCTCCTTTCGTTGTGTGGAAGTTGTTTGACCTCGGTTTCGCAACTTGATCATATTAGCAGAAAGATCTAGAAGAATGTACCTTGTCCGGAATCCATAGTATACATGCTAATTTCCACAGTCGGACGTCTGGCAACTTAACAAGTCTATGGTTCGACTCTGGAAATTATCATGCCCACTATGGACTCCGAACAAGGCGCGTTTTTCTAGGTCTTCCTGCTAATATGGCCAAGTTACGAAACCAAGGTCAAACAACTTCCATATTATATATTTTGTCTGTATATATGTTTTCGAGAATGTTCGTAGAGAAGGTGAGCTTTGATTAATCTCTTGGTTTATAATTGTTAACCCATAATGATGGATTAAATTAATTAGGACAGCGGAAGTATACATATATATATTATATACATACATACATACATATACTCATATTAGCACTCCTATTGCGCAGCGTCTGATGAAAGAGAAAGTGTGAACTAAAAAGTACATAAAAGTGACTATGATTATAACCAAGATAAAATAAAATATTAGTTGAGTCGTCTCCTTTTTGCAGGTGGCTCAACATCCTCTCTATCCTTGACTCTTAATTAAACATAACTTGTTCTCACTTAACTTCTTGCCTATATTCCTTAAATTCAATCTATTACCTGGTAAGTTGATTTTGATGGTCCCTCTAATTTTACGTTAGCAACAGCCATACTCTAGTGAGGAAAGCGATGCGTTTTCGACCATTCAATCTCATGTCCAGTTCCTGATTTTTTTACTCAACGGCTCTACAGGCGCCTTTTTGCTCAACACTTCTTTTATCGAATGTGACGACGAGTCTTTCCAACATAGTAATAGTTTAATCGAAGGTATGAAGACTAAGATGGTGAGGCCTTTTGTGTGGTCGCAGTCTCGTTTGTATAGAGGTTGTTTGACCTTGTTTTCGCAACTTGGTCGTGTTGGTAGGAAGACTTAGAGGAACGCACCTAGTTCGGAGTCTATTGTATGCATGATAATTTCCAGTCGGACCGTGAACGTGGTACAGTTCCAGACATTTCGCTGGCATCGCCAGTGAGTCTCGCCACTCTTAGCACCACACAACAACTCGTCAAAAAGACAAATGATGCCAAGTTTTTGACCAAACGTGTGCTAAATAGTTGTGGTATCTCCTCTTCTGCCCTGAGCTATTTACATTTTACAAATCCTCCTGTCACGCCTTCACTTACAATTTTTACCGTGCTTATTTCGACGTTTTATGTGCTCATCTTGAGCGGCATTCAGTAAAACCCTTCAACATTAGGCCTAATCAAAGCAAGCAGATCATCACATTTGTGGTTTTGCACAGAAGAAACTAAGGCATAGCAAGTCATAGACTTGATATTAGGAATAGAAACAAGATAGACGCAGTGGAGACTGGATCTAATTTGCTGACATTAGGTTTGTTTTTACCATAGACATGGTCCATGTAGCAAAGGCTTGACGATGAAACTTACTCATACGTTTGAGCGTCGAATTAGTCACTCAGACGCAAGTGAGGGCGGCTCAAGTCCCATCTCTCCTTTAATCTATCAATCAAGCATAGGTAGGTCCTACTCACCTTTCTACCACTGTTCCTCACATTTAACGTATTCGCTAATATATTAATTTCAATAGCCTCTTATCTTCCCTTTAGCAGTAGACCTACCATAATCAGCAAACCTACTAGTTTGAGACCATTCTATCTAATGTCCAGTTTCTCCCACTTCTAACCATTCGACCGAGCTCCCTTTACAAGCATTTTTATGTTCCCCTAGTTCTTGTCGAATGGGTTTTCCTTTCTCACAAACATAAGGTCGACCACAGGAACCTACAAACTTGTAGAATCCAGATCTCTATAATGACCAATATTTCACTTTGTTAGGGGACTTTCATTTCGTATGAAAGTGAACAATCAAGTTATTCGTTGGTCGATCCCACCAGATGAGGACAGATAAATCTCGTTATACTGCAGCCGTTTTGCTTTTATACGATATTCATCTTGACGCAGTCCACGAGACTTGCTTCCTCGTTTCCTGTGAAAACGTGCTGAGCTTTCGTCATATGTCTGGGTGTCATTCTTGTAAAGGTATCACGTTAATACTAGTACAAGAACACTATCCGACTCTATCCTAGTTCTTATATAGACTCAATTTAGCCAAAAGAAAATAAAAAAACTAGATAGATCGATATAAAGTGGTTTGGTTAATTTTCTTTTATATTGGTCGTGCTACTTTTGCTCGAGTGTATGCCTATGTGTATGTTTGCGTGTTAGCGTCTATATGCAATACCGGTCCTAAATCAGAGTTGTCAAAGGTTTAATCTCAGGTTCTGATCCTCA